CAAGGAAAGAAATCAAAACAAAATTGCCCATTGCCACTGTCGCTGATAGAGCGAAAAGACTGTACAGTCTGGGGTAGTTTCATTCGGAGGCGGAGAGAGTACATTGATTTGTCTTCTACTCCTCTGCACTGGGAGTGTGGGCAAAGGGAGTCTGCTTCGCATGACCAAAGCGTACGCCAGCTTCAACCGCTGTAAGACCACCTTCGCTCTGCCGGGGTGAAGAACTCACCCCGGAAGAACGGAGAAAGAAGGCCTTCGGAGCGACACCGTCTCTTCCTGGTTCGGCATCTTCGTCTAACGCGATCACAGGTGTGCCTTCCACAGGCATCAGCTTTCTGGCCCTTCTTTTTGTGGACCATTCCCATGCGAAGACACCACTCCCCATGGCAAAAAGATCTGGGTCCTTGGAAAACTCGGAGATCGTCAAAGCTAGAGCTCGTCCTCGAGCCAATCTTGCACTCAAAAACGAAAAGCTTGTCACCTAGAAGTGCCGCACATGGCTCATGATTTCTCATCATGGCTGGGCCGTCCAACGCAAGTGTGGCCGCATACTCCTTGTCCCGCCGAAGCAACTGCTCTGCCTTCTGGAGTTGGTGCCAAGACATGAGGCATCGGCAATTCTGCATCTTGTTAGGGCTGAGATGCAAAGTAACCTAGTACTTTCGCAAGTTTGAGGGCATCGGGTTTGCACATCTTTCATACCAAACATCACCAGGTTTCCAAGGGTCTCAAATCTCAAAGGAACGCATTTTCGGCATAGGACATGGACCGCGTCCCCTCCGAAAACACCCTATGGGATCCCAGTTGCGCGGAGGTTACGCCAGACAACATCTCTGGGAAGGAAAGGCGGACACCGTCGCGACCACGTGGAAATGGACACCGACCACGCCTCGCGCACGCGGCGCCGGAGATCTTCCGTCCGGGCCTTGGGCCGGAGGTTCGTTCCGAAAGCGGTCCGGGAACGCCAGTGTTCGGTTCATCGAAACGGAACAACGATCTGTCTGGTGCCCCAAATGGACTGGCAGTGCTGGCGAAAGAAGTGGAACAGCTTCGAGTCGAAACTGGGGAGAAATGACATCCGCCGAATCGGGTTCTCTCCGAATTGGGGGATAAAGAGGGTCTCTGTGTGGTGCGCCACTCCACTGCACGGTATACGTATGTACACAGCTTTTACGTGTCATGTACACAGCTTCAGTCTTTCTTTTAGCCACAAGCTTCTCCTGTCCAAGGTTCCAACCACCCGTGATTTAAAAGAATCCTCGGCCTGAGACATCGCTGGACAGAAGCTTCCAAACGGTTGAATAAGACATCTGCTTCCGATCACGCACCGATCTGCGTTCACACGTGGTCTTTATGGCCTCATCACTAGCATGACACAACTTCAACATCTACTAGTAATTTAGGATTCCTATTCCTCTTTGGTAGTTAGAAACGCAGAAAAAAAATACCAAAACCACCAGCGATCCAAAAAGACCAACACGATCAAATCCTGACACGACCGACTCACGACCACCGAGGTGAGCCACGAACGGTTCCGGTCTCCGCCGGACACGACTCAGCCTCTTTCAATCGTTTCTTGATGCTCCGATTCAGCTGAGTGATACGCACAGCAATCTCCTCCGTTTGGATCAAAGGTCAAACGATCAAAGGTCAACTCAATGTTTTCAAGAAAAAATAAGGAAAATTATGGGAAATTGGTTTGCCTTAAAATTGGTGGCTCTCCTTGTCTGGGTGTGCGTTTCTCTGTCGATTGACAGCAACTGTCTGGGGTCTCCTTAGTCAATAACACAGTACTGTAATGTCATGTCTTCAGCTGTCTGCAACCAGCTCCTGCTCTCGAGCGACTTCTTGTGCAAATTCCTGCAGGTGTCTGTTTAACCCCAGCAAACACACGTGACATGCTTCGGGATAAAACTACAACACATGTACCTAGAGGTAGAGGCCAATGAAGTTCATCCAATGTTCCCTGTGACGCACCCCACATTTGGCTATGGGTCAAAACCGGGGGGCTTGGTTGACCACAGACAATGAACAGAATGAACAGAACTACTGGGGAGGTCCACCAGCTCCAGGTACGCCTCGGCCTTCTGAGCCTCCCAAAGCTCCACGGTCACCGAGGCAGCCTCCTGCAAGGTCACCAGTGGTCAAGCAGTTCTTCCAAAGCTCGCGTTCGCGCCACGTGTGAATCCGAGGTGTGTAAGTGTCAAAGTCAGGGTTTCGAAATCCTTGGAACACAATCATGAGAGGAGAGGAGACCAAAAAAAATGTTCAGGAAGTCATATCTTCGTGTCCAACGCGACCTGTGACCCATCAACAATGACAGTGTTGGTTCTGACTGCATCTCACATACATGTCTCAAGGATATCACTCCCTCAATAACCAATCAGGGAGCAAAAGGAACCTTCCATGGCCTGGGGTCCAAGGGTCAAAAGAACCGCTTGGTCTACCTCGGTCATAGATGGTGCCACTGTGTTGATCAACTTCTTCAAACCAACCTCACCAGCGACTCGGCGAACAGGGAAGCACGCGCTGCGGCTTTAGGAAGGCCGAACTCGGCGAGTGCCAACACAGGACTCACTTTGCACTCCAGGTCCAGTGTGCTGGCACTGCAAGCTTCTTTCTTGGATACCCGAAATGCAAGAGCTGAGCATCACTTTAGTTGAAAAGCTTTCACTTGCCTGTCATCGCAGTAAAAAGCCATTCTACTCCCATGACCATGCTGCAAAAGATCTCCCCCGTGCTCGGCAAAGGCCTCTCCCGTCCTGGGCCTCCAAAGGCGTTGAAGTGACCAAAAGCTCTTGCAAAAGCCGCACACGTTCCCTGCAAACATGTCTTCGCGCACCCAGTTTCAAGAATGTCTTCAAATCAAACCATCTTTCATTGGCCAAATCAGATGAATCAAATCTTCGCGTCGTAACGGTCGGGATTCCACATCGCCACGAACACTGAACCGTCAAAGCGAACACTGATCGTCTGATACGACGATCCACCGGGGATTTTTCGGAAAATCTTTTCCCAACTCGTCTTGACCCACTCGAAAGTTCAACCCGGGTGAAAAAAACGCCGTAAAGTAAGTGAATCCCAAGTACAGGGTTCTGTTCATTTGTTGAGTGTTGCCAAGCTTTACCCTCATTCACAATACCTCCAAGAATACTTTCGAAGCGGCACACCAGTAATTCTTCATGAGTTACAGTGATCTCCAAACTACGTAATTCGCTCCCCCAAAAAAGAACTCTCTTGCTTACACACCCACGGGCTCTGCCAAAAATGCTCCACTCGCCACGCCTATCATCTTCTCGTCCAACCTCCCGCCGCTTCGCCTCGTCACTGGTCGCTGTCACGGACCCGGAAAGGGTGTTCAAACCCCGTGAGAAAGAAGGTGGTCAATCTTCTGCAAAATCCGTTGGGTGTCATCTCTGCAAAATCCGTCCCACATGCTACATCATGCTACAGTTATATGTGTTCCTCAACCCTGAAAACAATCGCCCTCCAACCCTTCTGCCCGGACCCCGACTAGGTGAGTGGAAAGCAACTCCAATCCCCGCTTGGCCGCTAGCGGAAAACAGCGGGCTCTAGGCATCCGAACCGGGCCATCCATACAAACGGGGCACTCCTCGGACTTGAGGAACCTCAGCTTCACTCGCAGCCGCTTCTACGCCCAAGCCGCAGAAGGGGGGGATCTATAGGCTTCTGTCTGTCAGAGCACCAACCAACCGAATCTTCAAGCAGAACAACTAGTCTGACTATCCTCTTTTGTATCTCTGTATTCCAGCAAGTCAGTCAGTGACACCTGACACCCTATCTCGTGCTCAGTCCAGGTTTGGAGTCCCAGCCATTGCTGCGCATGCTCGTTGCAAAAGATATGGCGGCATCGAAGGAGAACCCCCTCAGGGCGCAAGCGCTGCAGCGGTCTTTGTCCACGACTTGTCGGCAGGATCGGCAGGATCATTACGACAACATGTCCGCTCCAGGTTTTCCAGTGTGCCGATGTTGAAATGCTTCCTGAGCCTGGTACACCCCTTGAAATGTCTATTGAATGATTCAATAAAGCCCCATGAAACTCCAAGCCCAGCCCAGCCATCACTCCACGCCTCCTTGATGACCCGGCCACAGCTTTGCTTTTGGCAGGGAAAGTTGCAATGAAGCACCGCATACTCTTGAATCTGGGCCTCGGCTTCGCGGCATCCAAACGACCAACATGCAGGCTACGGGAGCAGGGATCTGAGCACACGGATCTGCAGGGCCTCATCTTCACCGGCCAGGTTTGCCATCCTCAAAGCTTGCAATGTGCTCCTTGGCAAGAAAAGCTCTTTCAGCCCCTTCTGAATCCAGTTCCCAAAGAGAGAAATTCTTACCTCCACAAGAGAGTGCCACAACATCTGATCAAACTCTAAGAATGGTCTTCTCAAGCGCCCCAGCCGGTCTCGATGGCGTTTTTCGGTCTCAGCCAAGGGCGGTGCTGTACACGGACCCAGCGGTCGCGAGAGTTACTGAGGTGCACCCCAGGCTCAAAGCAAAGATGGCTGCAGCCGATGTCGGCAAATCTAGGCCATAGGAGGATCAATGCACTCCCTCTTCATTGGTCTCATAGAATCTCCAAAAGGTAAAGCATGGGCAATCCTCCAGTTTATCTCACAACAAGGTTTGCCATGTGGAAGGGCCAGCTGCGTTCTGCACGTCTACTTCATTTGTTGTTCCCTTCTTGCACCATCGAGTCTACTGGTGAAAAAAACCATCCGTTTGCACATCATCTGACATCACCCGAGGACTCGAAGGGACCACACAAACCAAGCGATGGTGATCTTGGTCAATGATTGAAACATGCCTGCAGTTCCATAGATGCAAGCCTTTGGGGCTGAATTGAACTGAACTGCCCTCATTCCACAAGTTTGGTCAATCCACTTGATCTTAAATGCATCTGCAGAATACACATTTAAGATACGCAGGAAAACAAATACGTCCAGCAAAAATTTAACATTAGATTGAGGCATGAATGTAACTTGCATGCGAGTTGAGGTAGGCTAGAAGTACACGGTTCAGTTCTCATGTGCCTTCATAAAAATAAAATAATCGAAAGCACAAATGCTTTGTCCGGCCACAACCAACGAAAACAGCAGCAACAATGGCGGCAGCAGCAGCAGCAGCAGCAATGGCGGCTGCGGCGGAAGTCAACTCAAGGAGACGGTACTGAAAGGCCTACATTCCGTGAGCATGTTTTAGCTAGAAAGACAGAGCTGCGAACACTGCTGGCAGCTGAGTGAACTTCCGGGGTAGATAGCTAGATAGGTAGAGATCTCGATGGAGAGAGAGAGAGAGATAGATAGATATATATATATATTCTTGGATTCGGTCTTCCTCTTCCGTTCCATCTGTCGACCGTTCCATTTGAGGCGCTGCGATCAGCTGCGAGGAACAGCTGCCGTGGGGGTTGAAAGAACGAGACAAGCTCCACTCATTGGACCAAGGAGGGCCGAGGGCCGAGACGGGACGAGCCAGTTACAATAACTCCTCAC